ATCAGGGGGGATTGACTATTGAGGGGTTTTTCTGTCGGGGAGATTGTTTCGGAGCACGGTTGTCTGTTTAAAGGCCTACTACATCAAAGCATCAACAAAACAAAACAAATCTCTGAGCATAGGGTTCATTATTGNNTTATTGAGTTCCTGCGGTTGAGCATTATAATTGAGGGGGGCTTATAATTGAGTTCCAGAGATCGGGGTTTATAATTGAGGAGGAGATTATAATTGCCAAGTTAACATTAATTGGGATGGATTCCATGGTTGCGCTGAAGCCTTGGCACTGGATTGTCCATGATTTTAGAAGTATCTGCAGGCGTGACACCATCCGGACGAGATAGTTTGAAAATCATGCTTTTTATGGTTCCTATTAGTTTTTTCCAATGTTGTATGTTTCTGATCACCAAACGGGTAGGTACATCGCGGGGGGCCGCGGACATGTCTGTTTTAATACTAGTTGAGCAAATCGCTATTGCTCGTTGAGCATATTGTTTATCGTTACTTGTAGATATGTTGTGTACATGGTCTACATTGTGGATCCAATGAGGGAGGACCATGAGAAATGATCAGAGACATAATATGTCAACGAGGTTCTGAGAAGAGAAGGAAATCAAGAATAGTTTTGGTTCGCGGGAAGGCGCAGCGGGGGGGGGGGNNGGCCAACAAAAAAAAAAATGTTTCCCCCCCCTTCCCCCCCGCCTTCCCGCGAACCGGAACTATTCATGATTTCCGTCTCTTCTCATGATCTCCTTGCCCTATGTCTAGAATCATTTCTCACGGTCCTCCCTTATTTACTCTATAATGTAGACCATGTACACAACACATCTAGCCTCGAGCAACCCTATTCGCGTTTATCCTTCTCACCTCTCTCGCCTCGTACCCTAGTCAGTCACAACATGATTCTCTCTTCTTTCTATACAAGGACAAATGTAGCATGTAGTTCGATGTGATGAGATATGTATGTTTGTGCTGTTTCGTATACTCTTGGTTTCAGGCATATGGACGGGCTATGACCTTGTATTGAGAAGCTTACGACCCACTCCAAAGTCATGATTACATTAGAGTTTGTTTCGTGTGTTTGTTATTATACTATGCTATGCGTAGTAACCTATGTATAGGGGAACATTATAAAGCTTTGATGTGAACTGGGAGACGCATATCACAATCTCAATGCTGGTTCTCGCTCCTGTATATTGTAACACGTATACCACAGCACATCTTCGTAAGTAAACCTGCCCTATACCATCACCAAAAAGATACATATATATATATACATATATATATATACTAGGGTTCGCGTCAGGTATGGGCCTGAGCGGCAGTGTCCAAAGCAAGTGGGCTGCAGTATCTGTAGTTATTACGGTTGTTATTGTACTATAGGTAGTTTTTTTCCGTATTTATTTTCTGGGCCTTATTATCTTCGAGTTGGCTGGGTTTCTGGATTGATGTGAGAAGAGAAGTGTCTTTGGTTATATATCCCTGAGGCCCCCATACGCTTCCTTGTAACCCAGTACATAGGCTTGTTAGCCGATAAGGGGAGTGATTTGTTTGAGAGGCCATAAGCTCTCAGACCGCACACAGCACCGTCCCTTGTTGTTAGACACCTTGTAGCCATGCCTCGCAGTAAATGCGTTGTATGTGGTCGCTGGGGCAAGGACAGATGTTTTTGCATCAAGACTCCGGGTCGGGCCAAAGCACAGCAAAAGACAACCAAGAAAGTGGTATCGACTGCGAGCAATGTTGCAGGGACCGCTGCTTCTGGTAGCTCTGATGCCCGCCAATTGGAGTTGAAGAGTCAAGAAGTGAGACTTGCTACGATATTGGCGGCAAACCAACAGCACATTCTCAAGCAGGAAGCCCGAGATGCGAAGCGCAAGAGAGAAGAGGAGCGTGCCAAAGCAGCACTTACGTCAACATGGCGCTGGCGACCCAATAGTTACGGCAAGACATCGTGGAATACTTGGGGGCCAAGCTCGTGGAACCGGCCATCGCATGACAAGGAGGCAGATCGCCGAAAGGGTTGCGGGATTGGCAGTACACAGGGAAAAGATGAGCCCAAGCGAGATGAGGATAGAATGTGTCCCGACGGCCTTGTGACAAGTGAAGCCGAGTTGTCCATGCTAATCTTCGGGGCCCACTGAGCCTTGCTGTGTGGCGGTATGAGTGCGCAGAAAAGGAATACGGAACACAGAGATACAGGGGCCCCTAAGAAAAGAGGACAAGAGAGGACTAGGGACAGGGAACGGTAGACCACGAGAGAAAGGAAGTTAAACGAAAGTAGACGACATAACTTAACTGCAAAAACGCCAGCATGAAATATAACGAGACAAAGGACGCAAGAGGACGTGGATAAGGACATGGGACACCAGGGGACAGGGACACAAGGGACGGGACACAAGGGGACAAGGGACAGTGGACACAATGGGAAAGGGGACAGGGGACATAAGGGGACAGGGGACACAAGGGCACAGGGACGCAAGGGGACAGGGGACAGGGAGGCACACGTCCCGATGTCTACTTGAATGATTGTTCCAACTACTGGATCTAGAGCAAGAGATCTTCACATAACAGATCCGTCTCATGTCATAAGAAAGATACCAGGAATGCCAGAGAGTACATCAAGTGTGTGCTCGCAGAGGATAATCATTCAGCATGATCGCGGCACCAGATTTGATCAGACAAGCTATGTGAAAATCATTGAAGGGTGCTGTATTCCACCTACACATTGAAATGCAGAATCATATGTATGCTCGCTTAGGTCACGAGCTCAGATTTCCGCGTGTGCGGACGTCAGCCTCTAGCATAGCGTCGGAAATCAGGTCTGTGTGTGTAATCTTGTATTTTTATACGTAAAAACCCATAAAAAACGCTTATTTTCAACGGAAAACACAGGCCTGCATTCCGACGCACTTTTTATATATATGTATGTGTATATATATATATATATATATTTACACACACACACACCTTTATATATATATATATGCATATCACCTTTTTCAAAGAAAAGTGTTCTGAATTGAACAACCAACTTATTCGCAGGAAACAACACAACCATCTTCTTGGAATTTGGATTTTTTGCTTACTTGGGTTTTTTCCTAGGCAAAGTTAGTTTTTCTGTCGCAAGCCATTTTTTCCCCAAGGAAAATTGGTTTTCGGCCCAAAGCCAATTCTCCTAGGGAAAGCCAAAAAATCTTTTGCAAGTTTGGCCGCAAAGTTTCCCAAAAAATGGTTTTTGGATTTTCCGAGGGAAAGTTGGTTTTTTGATTGGAAGAGCACAGTGTTGGTGTTGAGTTCGTGTTCATGCCGAACCTGAACGAATTGTGTGGCGCGTTCTCTTGAAATTGGTATGGTTTTGGTAGTCTTTCAGAGATACAGAATCCGGACTAGCCGGAAAAGCTGGTTTGACATAGGGTCGGTAGTTCATGGGGGGGTACCATGTATAGAAAAAAATATACCTGTATACGTCAGCATATTCAGTATGTATACACGGCATTAGCTTTTCGAGACATGGATGACTGAATGGGTTTCATGCCTGTACGCAAGCATGAGCACGTACAGTTTTTTGCACATTCACATCTGGGCTCGTGCGGTTCAAGCTGCGTAACAAGGTACGTGCCATCAATTGTGACCAGACCAATGCGGTTTGCAGTTTTGTGCAGTTCTGCTAGTCAGTCGATTAGCAAAAACATTCAAACATATGTACCAACAACACACTGCTGTCTTGTGTTGGACGAATGATATTGTTCAAACACCTGCACGGCCGAAACGTAAACACGCGTGTGCTCAGCCTGATCCAACATCGAGACAACAAAGCCAACCCAACAGATGATGGGTGTTGCTATCTGTTGGGGCTTTGCCTGTGTGAAGCGAGTGCTGTCTGCTGTTGAAGCCCTGATTGGCATGGTAAGCGGTTCGGATAGGTGTGAAGCCAACCACCGCAGCATGCATACGTCTAGTGCGTGTGTGGAGAAGTAAGGGAGCGCTGGTGTGCCAGACAACTTGAGATTGTGCCAGCAAATTCTCAGCTGAGAGATGGCTTACATTGCCGTCACAGTAAGTCTAGCTTCTTGCCACGAAGCGACGACAAGCCGCGGTTTTGTTCGGGGGAAGATGCCGTTCTCGTACCGCAGTCGTTCTCAGCTTCATTTTGCTGCGCGGGTGTTTGTAATCGGGCACGGTTTCCAAGGCGCAGCCTTGGGGTCCGCCTTTGTTTGTTGCACAAGAATTAGCTCTTCGGCTCTCGTTTTGGTAATTTCCTAACTCGCGTGCAAGCAGAAAGATTAGATCACTGTGCCCGAACAGCTGGAAACGCTTGAAAAATGCATTGTCAGTCGATGTCAAATCGGCGCGGGTTAGTTCTGACTTCTGTTTGCATCTGATGTGCATCTTACTTGGATGAGGATTTGAATTTGCCAAACTAACTACTATTTGGACGGCTAGTTCTGGCTTCGTTCTTGCTCTGGTTGAAGTTATTGACATGGTGTATAAGCAAAGCGGCAATCGTCTCATGTCGTCGGGAGGATCAGTATCTCGCGGATCTCAAGCCGTACAAGAACGAGTACGAATATGCCGCCTATGGATACAACGTTGGCTGCAACAATCTGGGTGAGTATCCCTTCCCCATGCACCAGGTGCGACTTGTCTCATCGTTCAGAGGGTTGTGGAGTTGTCGTTTGTGTTTTGGGACCGTAGTCTTCCGCACCGAGATGACCACATGATGGCTGCTCGTTTAAACGCTGTTGGAATGTACACGTGATAGATGACTTTACCTTGCTATTCTAGCACCGTGGAGATGGCAGAACGAGAGCACAAACCTTCGACCCTTGCAGGATCACATGAGTAGACAGACATGGGAGTTCGTCGGTGACCGTATGGAGCACCGCAAATGGCTCGAGCCGAGGTACTACCCCAACGCGATCTGGTCTCTTGCTTAGGGCCTTGATTCCTGGGCTGGAGTTTCCGGTAGTGTGCTGTTTTAGTTCACCTTCTTCCGAGCTTTCCCCAAGTCCTGGTGCGACTGCTTGCTGTCTGGAGGGGGTTGTCTTTAGATGGGGACAAATCGTGCAGCAGGGTACAATCGTGCTTGTGATCGCCAGGTACACCATGCCAGGTGCTTGTCCGAACGATCTGCCGCTTGCCTGTCGATTTTGCTGGAGCCTTCACTTGCAGGTGTTTTCAAAAGCCGTCAGCATAGATAAATGCCGAGCTCAGGTACTACAACAAGGACAACTCCTGTCAGGCTAGCCAGCCAGGAGGCTATTGCCCAGGCCCCCATGGGTCTTCGACCGCACAGTCTTGTTGCTGCACTGTTGGGTTTTAACTAAGTCGGGCTCGTAGACGGGCAAGATAGAAGGGATCCTGTCGGCGTGCAGCTCTCAAACTGCCCCCAGGCGTCGAGCCGAATGGCAATGGCACTTGTGGCCTGACTGCAGACTTTGGCAATTTTATTTTTCGCTTCGAGACCATGGCCGATGCTTTAAGAAACACTAAGTTGTGCAATGATCAACGTGCAGTGATTAATGCACACCTGGAACACGCTCTAACCATTACTGACAAAAGTCTCGACGCATTGAGCACCTTGACTCGCCGCGTTCATGGTGTTTCGGCTCAGTGCCCGTATTTTCCTCTGAAGTATCGACAGAGTGGGTGCCCGGAAGGTTTTGCCGCCGTTGGGCGGGCCAGCAGTGGAAACTTTCTTGCCCTGTCATCACCCGCGTTGGCCACATCGGGAGTAGCCGTCAGTTTGCAGGGCTCGTAGGGATATGATATGATCTGGTTGTTAACGCGGCGAAACGGTCACCTGGCAGGACATCTGCAGGAAAGTGTTATCATGTGTATACACATGTTATGTTTGTTCAATCGCTTCTGCCGTTGTAATACCTGTGCTTATGGAGTTTCCTAGAAAGATCGAGGTCGGCATGTTCTTGTCCGATCTCAGCGCGCTCTCGCTTTCGATTCTTTGAGGTACGTGGAACTACGAGGAAGCCGGCCGCGGCCTTGGAAGCGCCCGCAGCCCGGATGCGGCCTGGTGTCTGCTCTGTGCCTAGGTGAGATCAGCCTCGATGAGCAGCTAGGTCCAAGATTATGGCATGTTCTTGGCGGTTTGCTCATGATTCTCTCGGCTCTAGGGCTAAAGACTCGACGGGTTCATTCTAGAGCTGTTTCAAGCTGCCGACGAGATTGTGCTTGAGCTTAGGCTAGTGGGCATCAAGGACTATGCCTCTTGGAGGCCTGTATTTAAAGACAGGACCTCGTGATGTGCATGCGGATTTTGTTCCGTTCAACTTGCAGTGACAAGACATTGTTGATAATTGCTTGCTGAAAAGGGCTTCCTATGTGTCGGATGCAGGCACGGCCACAGGGAGTATGATCCGGAAGCCGATGAAGGCATCAAGTTCAGCCTCTTGACGACAGAACGGTATGCTGCAGAACCGGAGCACATGCAGCCTGCACAGTGAAGCTGCCATTGGCAAGTCTGTAGATTTCGACAGACACACGAGGTTGGTGGAACGGAATTAACAGTACCGCTGCCAACGAGGAGAGGGAGGGCTGTCCATGTCCACTTTCGAGTTTGCTTGGTGCCAACGTTCTTGGTCCGCAATGCCCAGTACAGGAGCGCGTCCGACAGGCTGCCGAGCTGTTTGACAGAAGGCCTTTGCTCCCTGGCTGATTTCCAACTTCGGCTTCGGAGTTCTTGCTTCTTGCAGGTATCCACACTTGCCGACAGTTGATGCTTGGACAGCAGATGAGCGGTAATGTTGTGAGGGTGCGGACCCTAAACCCTGCACCTTCAACCCTAAGCCCTAATCCCTAGGCCTAAGCCCTTAAGCCCTAAATCCGTAAACCCTAACTGCCGGATCACTTCGTTTTCCCACTGAGCCTGGGATTTGGTGCAACGCATGTATGCGTGCGGGAACAAGCTTAAGCGGTCGACCGCGGCATCGTTCGCCCCTCGGCGCCTAATCATGGCTTCCGACAGCGGCTCGTGGGCTGCCTTCGCCGCCGAGCTGGCTGAGTACGCCTTCGGCGATGTCAATACTATTTTGACATCGGCGCCTACCGCATCGTCGCATGAGGCGTCCGCCTCGGCGGTACCACCTCGCCCATGCCGGGCGTTGTGGCTACACGTGGCATCGAGACGTCGCCTTGGGCTGTTACGGCGGGGCCGCCCGCGCCGTCGCCAACGCGGGTGTGCCAACCGGAACTACTTCATCGCCAGCTTCGTCGCTGGTGCCTCGCATTCTGAGTTGGCCTCCGTCCAATACGGACACTTCCTTGGAGGATTTCGCCCGCCTCGCCCACGGCGTCTACTACCTCTCCAACTAAAGCGGTCAACCCTGCACCGTTGCCGGAGCAGGCCAAACTCGTCATCGGCACCAACCGCCGGTCCAGTGCCGCTCACAAGCAACTCCCCGCCACAGGGCGGAACGCCCTTGACGGCCAAGGTGGGCTTGGCGCCCCTCCGGTTTGGGGCGACCAGAGAGAAGGGAGATGGCGGAGCAGTTCGCCTACGAACAAAGATGGCGGCGGAGAGATGGGCGGCTTCTGGGGAAGTTCCACATTGGGCCCATCGCGGTGTCGACGGGCGTGGTCGTCCACAGCCTCGCGACCCCGAGCGGACCGCCGCGTCAGCTATGTCGCCTCGTGCTTTGTTCGCTGTCCAAGGCGCTACTCGCGATGCCGTGGCCTTTGCCCACACCGGGCGCTGCTTCGGCCAATCTCTCTCTCTCTCTCTATCTCTGTGTCTCTGTCTCTCTCTCTCTGTCTCTCAGAGAGATTGGGAGAGACGGCGAGAGCGACACAGAGACACAGAAACAGAGAGACACAGAGCTCTTTCTCTCTCTCTCTGTCTCTCTCTCCTTCCTCTCTGGCTGTCTTTCTGTCGATCTGTCTCTCTCTCTCTCTCTGTCTGTCTGGCTGGCTGGCTGGCTGGCTGGCTGGCTGTCTGTCTGTCTGTCCGACTATCTGTCTGCCTGCCTGCCTGCCTGCCTGCCTGCCTGCCTGTCTGTCTGTCTGTCTCCCTCTCTCTGTCTGTCTGTCTGTCTGTCTGCCTGCCTGCCTGCCTGTCTGTCTGTCTGTCTGTCTATCTGCCTGCTCTGTCTCTCTGTTTCTCTGTCTCTCTTTCTCCATGACGACTGCGGGTTCGAGCTTTCGAGCCAACCGAGCCGGTGCGTGCATCTGTTGGCGAATTGGTCGGCCTTGTGGAGAGGGCTGCGCTGCACCGACACATTGATTGGTCTGACGACTTCCCAGCGTCCCGCTCAGCGCCTGTCGTTCTGAGGTCATTAGGGCACGCAGCATTTCGCCCCCTTCGCGGCACGCACGGCGTTCACGGGCCCTGGTCTGACGAGGTCATGGGCGTCCTCTGCGAAGCGGCGAACGACATCGTGACACAAACCAACTGGTTCCTGTCACAGGGCAAGGCCTGCGGCCCCGAAGCCCTCCTTTGAGACCATGAAACCTACGATTCCAGCATGTTTGCCGGCAGTCCCAACATTTTCAACCGACACCAACACTCCGCAATCTAAGAAATCCACCAAAAGCTCTTAGCTAACGACGTGTTAGCAAAAATCCTGCTAAAGGCGCAGTCCCTTTTTTGGGTCGCAGCGCGAACTGCGCCCTGCCGGGCACACCGCCCCCCAAAACTCGGTGCCGGTGCCGGGGTGCGCATTTTCGCGCCCCAGCATCGCCCAGCGCAGCCACATCCGGACAGGGTGGCGGCACCTACCAAAGAGCCAAGTTTAACAGCCTCTCAGGCAACGAAGCCGATGTCGGGCTTGTGTTGGCTCTGTTACGGTCAGCGGGTTCCCGATACGGCAAATACTCAAGGTGCGGTATGGCTTGAACCGTGCGGTTTCGCCACCCATTTCGGCAGCCTTCCAACTCAAACAGGGGTGTGCTTGGCAGTGCAGCCTCTGGCCAGGCAACACTAACGAGCGAGTCTGTGACAGAAAAACTGAAATCTAATCAGGCGGGGCCTGTCGTAGCACCGAGCTGAGGCCGAGCTTGCCAATCCCCCATGCGACTTTGATTTCGGGTCCTTCTACAAGGAGTGGTACCGCAAGGCTCGCAGCTGACTGGGATGAAGGCGGTGATCCGAATTTCGGGTCCATCATGGGAAACTGCACATGGTGGTTTTCTCAGGACGGCTACGTTGGACCGTGCGGACCTCCCAACGCAAACTGCAAAGGCAGGGGGAAACAATCGAAGCCTGCGCTTCACTAAACTGGCCTCCTGAGAGTCTGTTCTGAGGTGGCATTGGCTGGATTCGCCATGAAGGCTGTGGCTCTGGTAGCAGGGCGGCTGGAATGGACGCGAGGGCCTTCTGACCGGTCATCGCAGTAATCAGTCGTTTCGTGAAGCTTGTACCCCGAAGCAGAATCTTGGGTGCCAATCGCACGTTACCTGTGGTGTTCAGGATGGGGCGATCGCCTTTCGTGGAATTCCGTTTGGAGTTAGCTAGCCGGGTGCATAGCTCGCGAAAAGCATGCTTCCGACTTGCGGAGGCCTTTTGCAGCATCCGAAGTGGTACGTCCCCCTCACCGCTTCGGCCAGCGATGATGAAATCCAGCGCCTGCTGTACCAGCTAGGCCCTTTGGTCTTTTTGGTCAAATTTGTGGTTTGTTCTTCCATGAAACGACAAAGACTTAGCTGGAAATCGCAACATGTCAACAGTGCGGTGAGTTTCCGCCTGCGGGTGAAGATGCGGCATAAGTGGTGCAAGCCTCCGTCCTGCCTTCCTTCAAAACCGATCTTTCCCGCATCCAGCAATTGATAATTTTTGCAAACGAAATGCCCAAAGCTCCCTGGAGAGGGCAGATTCTGGGTCGGTTAATGACGGCGTGGGCAAGCAGCATAAACCAGAACCACCATGCTGGCACTGTTTACAGGTGATTGCGCAGGCCCTTGCGGGGGCTCCTCCATACAAGAGTAAATAAACAGCTCTGCTTGCCTCCCGTGTGCGTGTGCTCGCCCCAGACACCTCACTAATTGTAGCGACTAGGCATTTTGCTTCCAACTTCCTTGCAGCCATGGCATGCGTATTAAAAGAAAGGCAAGTTGCATCAGATCGGCGGTAGTTTGATCTAAGGAAAGAACGAGTGCCTGCGTCCGTGCGAGAGGGGCGAGACTCCTACTGCGTCTACGCCCACCGCGAAAGCTCCCTGACTGCTTGCCTCGCCGAATGCCATGGTCCCAGTGGCAGAATATCTAGATTTTGTAGGATCTTTTTTCCAATGATGTTAGTGCGAAGATCCACTCAGCAATAACGGCTTCGCCTTGCATGCACAGTTACCGAGAGAGGATGCAAGATTCGGTGTTGAATGATGTTGAATGTTGGGTAAGTAAGGGCCAGGGCGGTATTGGTGTGTTGTAAGGAGGGGAGCACGAGGTGTTCGTAGAATGGAGAACAAGATCGCGACGGGATGGTATCGTGACTTATTGTACCAGCAGCCTGCAGCTCTGGTATGGTCGGCATTTTGGATGTTGGCCCTGCATCGATCAACTTTCGGTTAATTTCAAATCACATGCATTTAAGGCAGACATGCAAAAGGCATGTTCATGCCATTCCATGCACCCGCTAGCACTGCCCGGATTTTGGCGATGTGCTTCTTCTGCGCACATTCCGACGGGTTGGGCGTAGCTTGCTACTGTTAATGGACATAATTCTGCATGACCCAAATATAGTATAGTACCATAATCCCATAGTTTAGATATATAAGGTCATGCAGGATTTTGTCCATCAACCGTATGTGTGTCAATGACATGAAGTCGTGTCATCTATCCGACCAGGAGCATCAACTTCATACAATCGCCGTTGGGAGTATTGTGAAGCGTGGGTTTGCGCTGCATGTAGCTGGCGTCGGTAAATGCAAATCTCGTCTCTACTAACATGATTGATGTGTCCGAAGTCTTTGCAATGGTTCTCCACGTGTGTTGATCGGTCGAGCACCCCATGCTCGTGTTGTTGAGTCCTCAGACATCGTGCTTCAGACTTGTCGAAGACGGATCGTAGTTGCATCTTGGAAGGGGGTCTTGACAGAGCATAAATTTGTTGCACCGAAATCCGTGGCACCTGCGAATTCGTCTACCCTGCAGCCGAATCTTTATGTCTGACGCTGGGGATCTATCGGGCCAGCAATCTCCCAAACCATAATGCGGAAGCTGTGGAACTGTCGAGACTTTGAGGCTGGAGGCTCTGAGTGGGAGGTGGTAGCACTGTCCGATGATGCTAAGATGGTACAAGCCCTGTCGCAGGCTGTTTCGTTTGAGGCGGTAATTTGCCATGTATGATAGTCTCAGATCAAAAGCTTGTGCTGCCGGTAGAATCGGCCTTTTGGAGGCATGACTAAAAAGGTAGACCGCTTGGCCTAGATGTTTACGCTCGGCTACGTGCTGGCAGAGTCCTTGCTATCCCCAGCTTTGGACTCCGTGATAGATAAGTGAATTTTGTCGGCTATGAGGGGAATTTTGTCGGCTGAGCAGTGCTTCTCAGACGTCCGACCCGCGAGGTGCTGCCGGGTAAGTGGCTGCGTTCCGAAACCAGACTTGCAAGCAAAGAGACTGGCAGGCTCCAGGTTCGGAAAGCAGTTCTTGCTCACAAAGCTTTTGGCCGGCTGCCTAGCATAGCCTAGCGGCCTAGCAGCTGGACGCTGGCATCGACTGGGGGCGGACAAATGGCGAAGGCATGAGCTGATTTGTTGTCGTTTTTTGTTGTTCTGAGCGTGCGCGCCACAAGCTACGCTGCTCGTTTTGCTCGTTTTGCTCGTTTTTACACGAGTCGACTCGCGATGCCTGGCCACTTATCAATGTTTCCATCTGTTTCCCACGAAGCTGCAGTCGCAAGGACAAGCTTCACTTGAGGACACATAATCACGCAATATCCAGCACAGCACTTACAAACTTCACCTCCGCCGCCGCCAATGCTTGCTGCACATGGCGAGGCAACTTGCCAGTATGCAGATCGCTGTCTCGATTTTTGCAGGTAGTCGAAGCTGAACGACTTGTGCAGCGAATCATCAGTTTCCAGATGCAGCCAAGAGATTGTGGCATTGATTATTTTCGTCTGCATCGGAGACTCCGGCAACTTGATCATGCAGCCCGTGCTGCCATGACTGACTCAGATTGCCTAAGCTCGGTCCTCCCCAAATGCCACGGGACCGCAATCACTGGCCTCCTGCCAGGGCAGTCCGGCATTTGGCTACGCTCTGCAGGGATGGTCCCAAGCACAGGGGAGTGAAGCCGTGAAGATGTGAAGCTGACGTGCGAATCGTGGACTCCAGCATGAGGTAACCAAGCAGAGAGTTCACTTTTCTGAGGCTTTCCGTCGCGATCCTGGGCCCGGGAGGTCGGCTGGGCACCTCAGCCCACGGCCGTTCAGGCCGTACGCTTCTTCGGCGTCAAGGCTCAAGCCGGGCGGTGCATCGTGTTGCGGTATTTTCGGGCGTAGCGAGCCGGCCAGGCACGGCACCGAGGCTGCGTCTACGTCCCGCGGAAGGTGGGCGGGCCGTGATGTGAGAGGGCTAGCGTACGCGCTTGATTTCAAAGACACGGGCGAGCCATGAGATCCGCAAAGCCGGAACGTTCAACAGCACAGATTCAACATCCGACCCTGAACTTAAGTCCATGCCGTTCAGACACGGTAGCCGTAAACATCTCCTGCACCGGTTGCCGTACATTCCGTTGCTGCTGTTTGTCGCTGCTTCTCTGCGTTTTTATTCATTGAAAGTGCCTCGGCATCAAATTGGCAAATGTTGGCAGCAGCCTCTTCCGCGGAGTGTCGCTGGTGCAGGTGGCACGCAACACCCTTGGCAAGGCGAGACGGAACCATTCAGACGAGACGCTGTTGCACCGCGGCGGAAGAAAGCAGCGTCCAGGGATGAGCAGAGTCCTTGGCGCGATTGAGGTTGCCACCGTTTGTGTCTGCAACGGAGCTGCGCATCCTCTTCAGGCCTGAACTCGGCAGTTGATTGCAGTCTTGTCGGAGGGTGTGAGACGTTGAGCTTTGGCTGCTGCAGCTTCAGTTATCGTTTGTTTCTGTTTTGGCAGGTTGGACTATTCCAACACAATGCGCATGCTGGGAGTTCGTAGCCAGCTTAGTTCTGAAAACTCGGCTGGCACTTGTGTGTTTGAAGCTGAGACGGGCTTGCAGCTTCGTGCCAGCCCACCTACCCTACCTTGTTTTACCCAACTACCCTACCCGCGGCTCTCGCGTCTGCTCAGACACCCACCTATCCACAGGCACCCAGCACCATCCCCCTTCCCACCTCAAGAAACGAGAAACGAACAACCAACACTGCACACCCCCACGCAGCCTTTCAATGCCTTTTTTGCCTTCAACATGCCCACTTGCCCAAGCTCATGGTAGACTGACCGAGGTTCGATGGACAAGAAATATTACTGGAAGGCTCTTTTTGCATGCGACTGGTGTCTTCTGCCATTTCAGGTACCTTCAACATCAGTCATATATTACATAGCCTCAGCGTGCTTGAGCCATCTAGTTGCCCCGACTCCAAGTCCTGCAAGTAGTGATTCTTGCTATGCCGCTATGCTGTGTTGCACAGCAGTGCGTCACTGATGGCTACTACCCAGAAAGGGCTTCATGTCTATGCAGGACTTGGAGGGCCGTGAGTTCGAGTCAACCTCCAAGCGTAAGGCGTGGATAGAAAGGGTGACACGCATGTAGAGATGCCTTGATGCTGCACAATTGACCAGCGGAGTGCAGCACAGCAGAGATCCGAGAATGGTGCCCCGCTGCCAAGTCTTTCTCCAAACGACGGGAACCATCGGTGCGGAACATCGCGCAACTAGATCATGGGAGTTCTGCTATTGCCTCCTGAAAGGGTTGAACCGCCTGAAGCCTGAGATTGTCCTAGACATTTTTCATCATTTTTCCCAGGTTTGGTGATTGCTGGAGTCCACGTGCGACTGTGAGGTCTTGGTTCCGTTTGACATGGCGGCCACTCCTTTGCGGGCTTTTGGATACTTGCCCAAACTTGTGCTTGCCCCAGAGATATTAAATTGATCGGAAGCACAAGCAAAGTTTCACAGGCCCAGCTTTTCGCCCAGAACCCAGCAGGCGTCTCTATGTCCTATTTATTTAGGCCACAGATAGCTGTGGTGCAGGGTTCCCGGATGGAGCAAGTTCATTTATCCCATGCTAGGGTCTTTGTCTGCTAGATGGCGAGCAAGTCTGCGGGTGATGCCTGCCAAGATATCAAGGTGGACGTGGAGCCGGACTGGGATGGCACGAGTGGGACCGCAAAGGCGGTGCCTGTGGTAGCTGTGCCTGGACCCTGGCGGGTCTGTCGTTTCGGTCCGGCGTAACCCTGCCGACCACAAGAATGGAGCTGAGCTGGGTGTTGAATGTACTTGTGCGTCAGTTGGCTTGTGTTCCCCCTTGTTCGGCTAGAGCAGCACACTGGCGCGTCCCGTTCCCAGATCTTGTTCGGAAGACTCCTTGCACGGGGACCTCCGGAGTGGCCTGGTGTTTGGGTGTTTGTGCTGTTTTGGTCTTTGGGGGTCTTACGCTTGGCTTCTTATTCCTCTTTGTGGTCACGGCGGAGTGAGGGATCGAGGGGATGATGGCGTCAGTGCCAGTTGGGCCCCGTTTGCGTCGGTTGATTCTTTGTTCATTGCTTCTGGGGGTGGGCGGGGTTGGGGGGGTCATGACATCCACGCCAGTGAGCTTCGTGCCGACTGTCTTCAAATGGACGTCAGATGATGTCAGACGTACACATCCTCAAAAGTCACGGGACTTGCGGATTTTTTTGAACGAGTACTCGGAAGATGACGATACTGGCGATGATGACAACGATGATGCTGTTGCCTCTTGTCCTGATGACGATGCTGGGAATGATCCATGGCCGTGGAGATAGCATCTGCCCAAGATTGCCCAAGCTTTGTGGCACTCGAAGGGTAGAGCTCCGGCTTCATGCCGCCTTTTTGATTGAGATCGCTTTGCCATTTTTTACTAGCTTCCGAAGCGTCGCCCGTTTGTTTATGATGATGATGATGATGATGACGATCCCGCTTGTTGGCTGCAAACGGCCGTGTTCAAGGAACGCCAAACGTGCTCGTCCAAGCCACGATGTTTGCAACGTTTTCGAAAGCCGCCCCTAACCCGGCATCGCCGTTAAACAAAAACAACAAACCAAAAAAGGACCAACAACAACGACCAAACACTTTGGGAAGCCAGAACCAAAAAATGCCTGTGGCTACAACTCGCTCGCAAAGCACACTGTGCTTTTATGGATTGCGACTG